CACTTTGAGTGCTCTCTTCTTCTTTGACAACTTCTTTTTAAGTTCATTTTTATTCTTTAATTCTTGTTTAATGAACTTTTTAAGTTTTATAGTGAGAAGTTCAAGTTCATTATCACTTAAGCTTTCGCTCGAGTGGTCTTCATTTGTTCTAAGTACAAAATTCTTCCTATTCTTTGGAAGATTATTCTCAAGTTTGTCATGTGTCACATTGGTCATTTCGTAGGTCATCAAAGATCTGATAAGTTCTTCGATCGAAAAAGTATTCAAATTCTTAGCCTCTTGAATGGCCATTACTTTAGAGTCTCAATTTTTAGAAAGTGATCGTAAAACTTTATTCACAAGTTCAAGATTCGAAAAATTTTTACCAAGAGCTTTTAGACTATTGACGACATCCGTAAAACGGGTGTACATGTCTTCAATAATCTCGCGTGGCTTCGTTCAAAAAAGTTCAAAATCATGCATCAAAAGATTTATCTTAGAATCTTTTACTCTACTAGTGCCTTCGTGTGTAATTTCAAGAGTGTGTCAAATATCGAAAGTCATTTCGCACATAGAAATTTGATCGAATTCATTTTTGTCTAAGGCACAAAATAGAGCATTCATAGCTCTAGCATTTAAAGAAAAAGTTTTCTTCTCCAAATTATTTCATTCATTCATTGGAGTAAAAGACTTTTGAAATCCATTTTCAATGATATTCCATAAGTTTAAATCCATAGAAAGCAAGAAAACTCTCATTCGAGTTTTCTAATAAGTGTAGTACATCCCATTAAACATAAGAGGACGAACAATTCAAAAACCCTCTTGAAATCTGCAAAGAGTCATTTCTCTTAGGTGTTAAACTAATGAGAAATAACATGGCTCTGATACCAACTATTAGGAATGAGTTGGCACTAGGGGGGTGGGGGGTTGGGGGTTAAATTAGTGCAACAGATAAAAGTGTCGGTTTAAAAGACTTTGTACGATAAAAATTAATTTCGACGAAAACCATTTTGGAGAGATGTTAACTTGAAGGCATTTTCGTAAGGTAGTAAAAGCAATAGGAAAGTTAAGTAGTTTGCAGTAAAGATAAATTACTCAAACATAAATGCAAACTGTTTTATAGTGGTTCGGTCGTCGTGACCTGCATCCACTCCACTGATTCCTCTTCCATCAAGGCCATCAGCATCCATTAATGATTTTCTTTCAACGGGCAAAGATCAAATACTCTTTTATAACTCTCTTCTCCTTTTTACTGGTTTAGGAGACAACCTTTACACCACCTTCACTCCTCTCTAAAACTATACTAACACTTAGAGCTTTTAGAAGAGTTCTCACAAGATTACAACAGAGTTTTTCTACTTTTTTTTCACTCAATTCTTATGTATGTTAACCAGGGATGAGAGGAATATTTATAGGCCTCAAGTGGATTCAAACTTGGAGCCTAAAAAGATCTTATCCTGGGTTTTTCGGGTCTTAGCGATGCCACCGCCTGTGCTGAGCGATACCACCGCCTACAACACTAACACTGGGCGGTACCACCACTTAAGAGATTGTGTTTGGGCGGTACCACCACCTAGACTGGTGGTACCACCGCCTAACAGCCTCGGAGACTAAGTCTGGGCGATACCACCGCTTGACATCATCTCGAAGATTGTGCCATGACGGTGCCACTTGTTGAGTCACTATTTGGGCCTTTCACTTGGCCCAACACAGTCCATACATAGGTGCAACTGGCTTCTAATTAGGTTGGCCCAATTCTAATCTTAATTATGTACTAACTATAAATTCTAAGGCATACATTAAGCAAATTCGATCTGGTTAGTCTTGGTTTTTTCCGGCGAGCTTCCGGGGATCTTTCGGCGAACTTTCGACGATCTCTCGACAATATTCCAGCAGACTACCGGTAAGCTCTTGGACTTCACAACGATATTCTTGGTGAGTTCCGACGAGCTTCTTCAGCAAGCTCCTAGACTTCTCTATCAATTCTGACAGAACTTCCGATGAACATCTGGACTTCCGATGAACTCTCAAACTCCCAACGAAATCTCATTCTTGACTCCGGGATTTCATTTTGCTTTATTCCTTAATCGCTATCATAGTTAATCCTGCACAAATAAAATTTATTTCGATCTAGACAATTATTAGAAAGCTTGAATCAAATGTTGTCTGGCATGTCATTGGTTTATCGATGCTTCATTTGATTTTTCGGTGCATCGTCCTCTCTTGCGGCCTATTGCCCAATCGGCCAGTTGACCTCTACAACTCTAATTTCCTTAATGCAATTTTCATTCTTCTTGGTCCGATGCCCGAACTCTGGGTCTGAAGCCTTCTGCAGATACGTCGATCGATCCTTCGGCTCGACGTCCAATTTTTTGATATGTTTTTCTTCGACCCAACATGATTTTTTCTACTTTAATTGTCTCTTTCTGATTGAAGCTTCTGCATCACTCAAAACACAGATCAAATCATAAATACTATCAATTGATTTCATCATCAAAATTTAATATTCAACGAAATCATTATTCTTCCATCACCATAACATCTTGAAAACCCTTTATGCTCCCAAACTGACACCATGTAAATCCATTTAAGTTATACGTGCTTCAGTCAATCTCCCACCCTTTTATATATACTTAGCACGTGAGAAGTGCTAAGTATATATAAAAGATCCTATATCATTTATGCTAGGGCTAATTATATATTGCTTCCTATGGTTAAATTTCATTAGCATCATGACCTTTTGATTTAAAAAATTTATATTAAAATTTTTATAGTTATAAAAGTGAAATATTTAACTCTGTTTATCTTAACGTTATCGGTTTTATAGACAAAATATATCACACATACAGAAATAACATAAAAACATTAGATAAAGGGATAATTTTAATATCCTAGTTACATTTTTGGTGATGGTAGATGACGATGTCGTTGGAAGTCATGAGTCACTATTATGGATGAGGAGAGAGAGCGACGACGAGAGATAAGACAAATAGAGAGAAAGAAAATGATAGTACATAGATTGATGATATGCATCTATGTCAATATCGCTCGGTATCTGCATTGGTATCGACATAGATATAGATGCAAAGGAGCGAAAGGACTACTCAGCAATTTTATAGATGTCGATGAATATACATAGTGATGTTGCTCAGTATCTGCATCAATATTGATGCAGATATAGATGTAGAGTAGTGTCACTCTACACATACGATGGCAGCGACAAGGATGCAAAAAAAGGATGATATCGCTCTGCATCTACGTCGGCACCGATGTAAATATAGAATAGTGAAAAGATTACTCGGCATCTAGATCAGCACCAACACCAACAATGATGTGGCAAGGGTGGTGCTAGTTTGCATCTCCTCCTCCCCCACAAGAAGTCGTAGAAGTCTCTAGCATTCTCGGCAACTATTGTATCGTTTTCATCGATCATAACCATAACAGTTACCTATGATCCTCAATAGCATCAGCGTTCGCTACCACCATAAACGTAACTAGGATACTAAAATTATTTTTTTACCTATTATTTTTGTATAAAAAAATAATATTATGATAAATTGAGTTAAATGTTTCTCTTTAATAACTATAAGGATTTCAATATAAATTTTTTTAAGTTTAAGAATCGGAATACTAAAAAGGTCAACTATATAGGGTAATATGTAGTTAGCCTTTTATATTGTTGAATTGAGAAATAGGTTGAGAAAGAGATTATTTTTATTCATTAAGGTGATAGCCTTTTATATTTATCTCGAGGGAGAAATTTTCCTCGATCAATCACTTAAATCTCACAATCAAATCAATTATCTGAGGTTGCCTCTATCATGTGATCTTCTGAGATGATTTCTATCATATACAACAATATAACAGTAGTAAAGGGGAATGAATAGAAAGTTAGAAGGAATGGGGAATGGTTTTGATCCACACGCATAATTCTCAACGGCGCGGTAGAACTATGGCCATGAGCACAATCAGAAACATTGGAAGTTCTTCTAGATTTAGACGTTGCTATGTTAGAAGTGGCAAGTCAGAGTTCACTGCCAGATTCGGAACATGATCCTGCGCTGCAAAAGCCAGAAGCTGCTTGTTCCACAGAAGCTGTTCCAGCTTCTAATGGTATCTGTGGCAGATAACTTCCCCCTTCCCCGGCATCCACCGGCGGCCATTAGGCCTTCCAACCAGGAGATCAGCCTCCTCAGATTGCTGAAACTTTTGGCTACCACCATCAAAAAGCTTTTGTTTCTTTGCTACTGTGCAGGTGAATTTTGATAGCAAGTAGATTCCTTTTTACACTCTGATTTAGTTGTGTATGGAAAGACCAATAAATCTTAAGTTGGTTTATAAGAGTTCAAGATGAAAAATGGTTTTATGATCATCAACGTGCTTTGCGTTGTCTTTCCACAGACAGACAGATGGCAAGCACCAATGCGTAATGCCAAGCAGGGATTTAGGGGAGATGGCCATCGTTGTCTTATCATGTCCAGGAAAACCTGGAAGAAGGAGGCCCCAATGGCCAGCCATTAGAGCAGCAGATTCGAGCATCACTTGCATTTCTTACTATAATATGGTCAGAAGTGCATCTTACCTGCCCAACTAGCCATATCCAAAAAGCCACGCACAACCTCTTCTCTGATGGCCCGTCGATCGCGTTGCATTAGACCCGACTCCCGGATCAGTTTTAAGATTATTCTGATTTCGATTCCAATCGTCGTTTTTTATTTTTATTTTTATTTTTTATTTCTAATTAAATATAACTTAAAATTAAAAAATAAGAAAATAATCATTTATTAAAAAAATTACAAATCGTCGGTTCGATAGATTAAAAAAATAGTCGGTTTTGATTCCAGAAAACCGTAGCTGAATTCTTCGGGTCCGTTCGATCCCGGTTCGATTCGATTCGGGTTCAATTCTGTTAGGAACTGAACTGAACTGAACTGATGAACCGTGTGCATGCATATTTTATGCAACCCAGTTCTTCTTCTTCTTCTCCTTCTTCTTCTTCTTCTTCTTCCGCTTATAGCCTATCCAGTTTCGTCTTCCAGAGTCTCCGAGTGAATGTTGCAAGTGTTATTACGGAGGAATGAAATAATGGCAGATCGCCCCTTGGTTATCGAACACCGCCACCGGCGGCGGCGCTCTCGAGCATCGAGTGAGTACCTTGGAGTTCGCCGTAGGCCGTGGGGCCGCTATGCTGCTGAGATCCGGAATCCATACACGAAGGAGAGGCACTGGCTCGGCACCTTCGACACCGCAGAGGAGGCTGCAGTCGCCTACGACCTCTCCTCCATTTCCTTCAGTGGACTGGCTGGTGCTCGAACCAACTTTTACTATCCTTTTCTAGCTCCTCCTAACATGCCGTCTCCACCGCCCCCGCCGCCGCCGCCGCCGCCTCCTCCTCCTCCTCCTTCACCTACGTCCGAGCAAAGGGATGATCTCCATCTCGAGTTCGATTCCGTTCAGGATGACGAGTCGATGACCATCGCAGCCATCCTGCAGAGTTTTCGCCACTCCTCATCTCTTTCTTCATCTTCCTTTCTGTGGTAAGCAGAGGTATCGGATGCTTGCAGTGCTTCAGCTTCTTTTCTCCACTATGATTTCTTGTTGGTCTTGATGCTAAATATCATCAATTTCGAAAAGTTATAGAAACTGCTATAGTATTAGAACTCGATTTCGTTGCCACCTTTGAACGGAGAAATATTTATCATAATTTATGACTCCACACTTGGAGCACAACACTCCGATGAATTATTACCGTATATATACATCAAAGAGAATATTTCATACATTATTGGAAATTATTTTTTTCAATTGAACCTATAATAAAAAATCATCGGGAGGTTATTTGAAATTATTGTTTTTCTTTTCATCATTAACTAGAACGTTAGATAGATCACATCAAAAAATCAATCCGATCTCAATCTTCTTGTAGATCGACACTAGGTCAAAAACTCGAGACCCTTTCAATTGCACTCGAAGATCTCTTACGAACGTGAGCTCGAACAAGTTGATAAGACACTAAAGTCTTGTCGTAAAAGAAATAAAAAAAATGATAAGGCTCTGATATCAAATGATAAGATTCTAAAGTCAAATGGTAATTATAGCTTCGAGGGGATCGACCTCTTTGATCACTTCGAAGGGATCGATCTCCTAGGGTTTGTTTTAACAAACTGGAATAATATTTCATTAATTGATTGATTGATTTAAAGAAAGGGTTACATCACTATTTATAGAGTTTCACCTACAGTCCACGAGGACTTGAACTCTTAATAATAATTAAATATTAAATAAACTTCTACCCAACTCTAACTAAAAAATCAATAAATATTATTCAAAAGCGGGTCCTAACACAAGTCAACAAGTTGATCGAGTCATCATCCATTACTTCTATTGATAACAACATGATCGATGTTAGTTTCGACCTCACACTTAAGAGTCAAAATGTTGTTGTTAGAAGTGCTTCCTTTTTTTTAATCTGACATTTGACTAACTAAATGGCAATATAAAAAAAAATCTAATTTTAAACCATTGGGGAGACCGTCGCTTTCCACTGTTAGGTGAGGGTTGAAAACAAAACATTACTTTACCTACCGAAGTTGTTCTTATAGTAATTAATTGTGAGGATTCATGGCTGTTGATGGTCAGAAGTGGCTGCTGGCGAACACCAAGCTTAAATTCGATCTCTCACCTTCCAAGGAAACATGCAGACTATATAAGAATAGAAACAACAGCTGTTTCATCTCCTTCCACTCCAAAATACACGCACTTACAAGTACAAGTATTCTTGGATATAGAAATTACATAAAGCATTATAGTCTAGATTCATTAATTTTAAAGGATTAAAACTCGTCATAATATTATCTATATTAGATGATTTAAATGAATTAAACTCTTATCTTAATATTTCTTATATCAATAAAACTTTTATTAGCATTATCCTTTAACACAAATATGAAGGTTTATGGTCTCTCCCTTGCGAGAGCTAATAATTATCCTCAACGTTTATCATCTTCCTCATGGGCGATGATAATTTGGTTGGTTTTACTTCCATCTTCACTGGGTTGTGGCGCAGTAGGAGTCCTTGAAGGCATGGTTAGACCTTCAATGCGTGCTGGCGTCGTAGGAGCTCTTGTGAAACCGTGGTTGTAAGCCCACGTTCCTGTATGCATAGAGAAGAGCGGCTATTTTGGTCATTAGATGACAGAACTGAACCTAGAGATCAAGATTGTGACATGAACAGTACTACTCCATGAGAAGGAGATGTAAGTGAAAGAGAGAGAAAGATAGTACACTGGATCTCATTCTAGTCTCTTCTTCGTTAGGAGAGTCCTGGAGATGATGGGACGAGTTCGACCCGCCCAGGCAACGAGCACAAGCTTGGAAGAGCTGCAGGAACGCCGCTTTCTAGATGAATTCATGGCCAAGATGAGGCTCGGACAGTTTGGATCTCTCTCTCTCTCTCTTTCTCTCTCTCTCTCTCTCAACTCGTAGGTGATATGGATTTCAGAACTGAGCCATCCATATTTATTTGCAATGGAAGGCTGAATAACTCCATGCCTGTCAGTTGGTGTAAATGATAGAGATACAAAAAAAGATCAAATCGGTTGATGAGACATACGTGATGTTGAATTTGAGTGACTCTCCAACCAGACTCCATCACCATAAAACAACAAAGGCATTATTTAAACCATGGAATATGGCCGCTGGATACGCAAGTCCATCCCTAGAACAGATTAACTATCATACAAGTCATCATCTTAGTTGAAGGATGTAGCATGTACTGTATAAGCCATCATACACACACACACCTTGAACAGATTAACTATCATATAAGTCAGAAGTCTTAAGGTTTTATCTATTTTCACATTTGAGGAACCAATAAGTTCTTTGCAAGCTGATGAATATTAGATATTTGTTTACATGCCAATTATTTCTTAAATGAAGGGAATAAAATAAAAATAAGCATCTGCAAAAACAAAATTTGGGTGCATTTGGACTGCAAGTTTTTCATTACGTGCTTATTCATTTACAGGACTCCAACTGAGCAGGTTCGTATCTTCAATAAACAAAAAGATTTTATGTAATGGATATAAGCAAAGACATGAGATACAGTAGAGAGGCAGGGATGATCTGGGCATTTCATCCCAGAATGAAACGATGATTCAAAGCAGCTGCATTCTCGATAACATAGCTCTCGATCTGTGTTAGTGCCTGCCAAGTAGTAAACATAAAGAGAAAACATTTCAGAGGTCAACCGTAACACCCAAAAATTACAGACAAGTGATGAAAGAACTGGTGTAAGTTATACCTCAAACGCAATATCCGTTGGTGTAAGCGCATGAACATCCCCATGGCCCTTTTTATCTGCAATATCTGCACAATGACCAAAGTAAATTTATCCAGTTAAATTTTGTTTGGTGTCTACTACAGATTGACTAGATGACCAATTGTGTACAGCTTATCTGAATAATGGGGAGCCTGATAGTAACTCTCCTAAACTAAAAGCGAAGAGTAATTTATACAAAATGAAATGATTTTGTAAACGTGGTTCAGAATCACAATGGTAAACGTGGTTCAGAATCAGAAATGAAATGACAGCATGGAGAGTAATTTATACAAACATAAATGATATGACAAATTGAGAACTTAAAAAAGTGTAGAACAATTAAATATATAATTGCCAGAACTAAAACTTGGATCCGAGTAGAATGTAGCTAGAAATAATTAGCGGCCAAGATAATGCAACTGAACATACATTCAAGGGATACTCTTGCATCAGCATTTGCATATGCCTTGCCCCTTTGTTCGGAGAGTGCAGTGAGTTTCGCAAAAGCCTGCAGCGATATCAATAGTTAGGCCATGTTCTCAATGCAGCACCCTTTTTTTGTTTACAGTTCAACTCTTAACACGAAAAGCTGAAGTTACAGGTTTTCCTATCAACCAACAATCACTTTCTCTTAGAAAATTGCACATTGGTTAATTAACTTAAATGTCCTCAAAGAAGAATAGACCACTCAACAAGACAAGTTTATCACCTACTCAGAATATTATTACGCTCCAGTCCAGCTGGTAGGTGAGTTTCTTATCATAAAGTTTCATGCAGAGGTTACCTTCGTGTATGGATCACCAGGTTCTTGATGCAAAAGAGGGCGCGAAGCAGTCCCTACAGCAGCAATCCGCCTAGCCAGAGCTTCCAGAGGAACATCTAGCCAGATCGTAATCCCCTGTTTCATATATTTCCTGACAGTTTAAAATAATAACACTTAGTTAACATTGCCGCCTTCAAGAAAGTTTAACAAATAGAATTGTGTGTTACGTCAACTACCAGTTGATTGGACGAATTACGGCACCACCACCAGTTGCCACAACCAAACGGCGCATTGAAGACAAGTCCTTTAAGACCTCACTCTAGAGCATGAAAAGGAAAATATTAGGAACCAATTTAAACTGAAGCAAAAAAGGAAAACATAATGAAACAAGTTACAAAGTTGTGCATCTTGTGATAAGTTAACATATGGCTGTGGATATATCCAACATTATCGGCCTAACATTACTGGGCCACAATATACGCATTTGTCATCCACTAATCACAAAAATTTATTAACATCACCAATGTTCACAAACATAAGATTAGTTGTGGGTGCATGAAAGGAATGTGCTAATAAATCCTCAAAACATGAAAAAGGATAAATATTACGTCTAAGCATGGATCAGGAGAAGTAAGGAATGGATGATAAATTTGTGCCTTTTGGAATGAAGTGAACATATTTGGTCATGAACTTTATCAAACATGTTTGGAAAGCTAATAATTTTGTCATAAGGTCCACATTTTTCATCCAGTAATCACAAGAAGTTTCTGAAATCACAAGTCCCCATAACATCTATATATGATTTACCAAAAAAATACAATATTCATCGAAGACAATAAAAATATGTAAGCACCTCATTGTCTCTGAAGAAGGCTTCACTATACTCCTCAAATATCTGGGCAACAGAAGATACACCAACAGCCTGTTCGACCAATTTGTCACTGTAAAGAACAGAGCCATTAAATATTCAATTACAAGTAAAATAAATGAAAGAAAACACAGGTTTATTCATAAGATGAACACAATACATTATCAAGAATATGAAACAAACCTGTCGAAGAAAGAATAACGTAGCACTTCTGCTAAGATCTTGCCTACAGTGCTTTTACCAGAACCCATCATCCCTGCAACAGACACAAACAAACCATTCAGACATCCTAATTTATTATTTCATAATTAAAGTTATCTAACGACTTATTGGTCACAATTCATAAAATACTAACCAACAAGATAGATACAACGCCCACTCATGTAGGGAAGAACTTCTTCTGACTTCCTCTGCATTCAGACCAATATTAGGTTTATAATGACAGTACAAAAATGATGGTACCACTATATAAGTTCTTTTCCTTCAAAATTTGCATTTAAACAATGTCGAACCTTCAATACGAGAGCTTCATCAAATGAGTTGTGAAAGTTCTCTGAGCCTGTACCACCAAAAAGATCTGAAGTAATTACTAACCAAAAAAAGATTGTTAACTAACAGACAATTAGGATCACTTATCACAAAGATATCTGTCATTCAACCAATACAGTTATCAAAACAATTGTACAGTCAAGTTTGACGATAGTATTATTGTAGCAATTGCAATA